GCGCTAGATGTAAACGGCTGGAAAATCATATTTTTTCCTTGACCTTGAACGCTGCATGGGAAGTGTATTATGGCGTCGTGAATCCAAAAAGGTCGCATGACCGTGAGTTCCATCAAAGCATCTTTAATATGACTATTTCAGTTAAACATTTCGTACAAATGTGGAACGCTCCCTTTAAGAAAAGCAGGGATTTGAACTGTTCCAAAGATCCTCAAGATGGCTACTTCAAGTAAAAACCCCATACAAATGTGGAACACTCCCTTTAAACGTGCGTGTTTTCACTGTTTGGATAAAGCCACTGATGCTGCACTTAAGGTTAGGGTGTCCTCCAACAAAGGCAACGTGGGAGAAATGCTGAGATACTCCAATACGCACACTATCCATACCACTTCAAAATCGACGGCGACATACTCCTAAATGTTATGCACAACTCCTCCAGTGCTGACGGTGCGGCCGTATTCACGAAACCAAGTAGTAGTAGACAGAAAGTCAGAAAGTGGGATGGTCATGAAGTCAAAGTTCAGAACATTCATAATTTAGATACGCTCAAAAGGTACTGTTAAACAGGCCTATCGCCATTTTAGACAATGCACAAATAATGTAATGAAAATTGTATAACCTATTGTACTTGGGTCCAGCGGTTATACAAATAAACATGGCATGCAGCCAGTTTTCGTAAATTTGACCAGCGCATGCGTTGTTTTTTCTGTTGTGAAATACAGTGTAAAATGGAAACCGCAAGAACAGATGAGTCCATTCCCAGGTAGCCCCGGTTACAGCGACGTCCGACCACCCAATACAAGTGTGAGGAGCTGTCGATTTAGAGATAGTTGGAAACATATGGCTGCTACGTGGCGAAGGCAACATGAAGCACGCATTCGTACGTTTTGTGTGCTCCGGAGAAGCTGTAAAAATCGGTCACGTGCTCAGATAAATATCTTCATTTTTTCCTTTGTTGGTTTCTTATTCATCACAGGCTTCACAACAGGAAACACGGTTTGTTAACGCACTGATGACTTCATTTTTTTAAAGCAATGAGTACGCTCGTAATAAATGCTGCTTATCATCAGTGACTGAAATAGCTATGGTTTGTGTTGCATTGTCCATAACGACGTTTAGGGGACAACCCTGACTGGTTAAAAAAGGGCGGTAGTTTGGGGTGAACTTTCGTCTTCTATAAAGCAAACATGGACTTTTGCGTCAACTCTCCCGCAACTGAGTGTGACACCCGTTATTCATCTGCTGCAGAGCGCAGGGACCACACGTCAGCTGGGGTGGGGGATGGGGTGTGTGGAGGGGGGGGGGGGGGTATATCTGGCATAAAACGACAGGCGCACCACCGCAGCTACCACACTTCGAACGCCTGGCAGCCAGCGCTATCTACTGGACGCCATGAAGGTAAAGCAATTGCTACACTTTAGCAATCTACCTTACTTTGTTTGGCTTACTTTCTTACTTTCTTTACTTACTTTGCTTTACTATGCTGTATTGGCTGTACTTGCTTTCTCAAACCCCTGTATCCCAGTGTTGAAAATCTGCTTACCCAGTGCGCCCATGCCAAGGCCGAAACTTCACATTATACCCGAACAACTACAAATTTAACAAATAGGTTCAATGTGAGGAGAGAGCAACTCCCCCGCTGGTTTTTTCAGAATTTCATTTCAAAACTTTCTATTGCTGCGTGATGTCCCATGAAATGGTAGACATACCTCTCGTTGCACACAGTCTAAACATTCACAGTCTAAAAGTGGAGACATAACATGTGAATACATTGGAATCATCAGTGTCATAATATCCATATTTCTTTCAATGATGTTACTGTGAAGCTCGGCGTGCTGCATGCCACTGGCTTCCTTTTCAACAAACAAAATGTTGTGTTATCAGCCAACCCCTGTTTACCCCTTCTTATTATCCTGTTTAGGGCTTAAATGTACTGGCGGTTTGCCTCCCCGGCAATGTCAAAATATTGTTTCACGTTGTAAATAAGATTATTTCCCCCTCTCCCCTTGTGCCGCGGTGTGTTCATGGCACTTCAGGTATATCACACAGTCACATCTAGCCTCCGCACTCACAAGATGCTGTCCTGATAGCCTCGTTCTACGTCTTGCAGTTGGCCATCGTCCTCTGCCTGGTGGCCGCCGTTGCTCCCAGCTGCTGTTCCCCGTTTTTCTCCAGCGGACCATTCGGCCTCAGCGGACTGACAGGCGGCTCCGGCTCTGGTGGATACGGCGGCGGATCCGGCGGTGTATTCGCTCTCGTTCGACTGGGAGGCGACGGTGGATTCGACCTGCGGAGACTAAGAGGTGGATACGGCTCCGGCGGGTACGGCTCCGGCTCCGGTGGATACGGCGGCGGATCCGGCGGTGTATTCGCTCTCGTTCGACTGGGAGGCGACGGTGGATTCGACCTGCGGGGACTAAGAGGTGGATACGGCTCCGGCGGGTACGGCTCCGGCTCCGGTAGATACGGCGGCGGATCCGGCGGTGAATTCGCTCTTGTTCGACTGGGTGGCAGAACCGGCGGAGGATTCGGCCGCAGAGGACTTGACGGCGGGTACGGCTACGGCGGGTCTGGCTCCGGTAGATACGGCGGTGGAAGCGGTGGTAGATTCGCCATTGTTGGACTGTGAGGCGGTTACGACGGTGGATTCGGCCCTCACCGACCTGGAGGGGCGTACGGCTACGGCAGACACGGTTATCACTACGGCGGAGACAAGAAACTTTTCTAAAACTACGGCTACGGATATTGACAAGTGAATGATTAGTTTTCCATGCAGAATATCTGCGTACTGCAAAATTTGGTGATGGGTTTCAGTTATTTAGGTAGCAGATATATGGGCATCTGACAACTATTTTGAGCTGTGTGCACCAGAATAAATGAGAGGTCATGTGCACCAAAGCCGCGCATTTCAACACCGACAGCATAGTGGGGCCGAAACGAGAGAAAGCAAAGAGAAAGGGCAGGACAATAGGAAAGATAACACAAAACAGAGCAAACGAAATGACTGGAAAACGTAGAGATAAGCAGAATACCGCACGGAGACTGACACCGAACCGGGCTGAGTTTGAACCGGGCAACTTAAAGTATGACGACCTGATGGTGTCGTATATGTCATCAGTGCATCTATGGATAGTAGAAATTGGTCGACATCAATCGCAGCGGGCACATAGGCTTCCACTGGAACGAGCGAGCGAAAATCTGACCTTGTTAGCGACGCGCCACTCCCGCCAGCGTTACGTGCGTGGCCGACACTGCCCGACAGCCGCTTCCAATTGGTGTCTGTCACTTCTGCTGCGTCTAATAGGTCTTGTCCTCGTCGGCAATCTGTCCTTCAGGCGACAGTTGTGACGTCCGAACAATAGATCGATCGTCCCTAACGGGCATGACGCATTGAGCTTTTTCGAGAGCAACGAGTAGTTTTAACATTTGACTCTTGAAAGAACCCTGTTCGTTAGCTTTGCCGCGTCATTTTATTTCACCATTCTTCATCCGCGATTAAAAATGCTGGTTAGAAACGGTCAGGGAATACCGGAACACAGGCAACGACACAGAAGCGCAGGCGCAGAGGCAAAGGGAATGATAGTTCAGGGCTTTTTCCCCCAACTTCAAGAAAATTTTACAACTGTCCCTACGAGTGGGGACTGGAAAGAAATCATCTAAATGCATAACTCCCCACTTACAACCAATGTATGTAGTGAAACTGAGGCATACAAGACGGCGCGTTCGCAGGTTCCATTGTCAGCTCGGCACCACGTATGACCAAGTACGTAGCCTGCAGTTGCATCGGCTAGTTTGCTCGAGCCGTTGATCTCTAAGTTTATGTGATATCGTTACTCGTCCTCCCAGTACGCCCATGCCAAGGCCGGAACTTGACATCATGTCCGAACAACTACAAATTTAACGAATGGGTTTAATGTGTGAAGAGAACATCCCCCCCCCCCCCCCCCACTGGTTTTTAGAATTTCATGTCATAACTTTCTATTGCTGCGCACCGTCCCGTGGCTGGCGGGCATTTCTTATATTGGACCGTCCACCAATGTGCCAATGGCTTTTGCAATATTGCTGTTGCAACGTACCGTCCCGTAGACTGGTAAACACTTTTCATGTTGCACGGCATTCTAAGATTAAATACATAAAATATTAACGCGTTCGAGTCATCGGCGTCATCATATTGATATTGCTTTAAGTGATGCTACCGTCAAGCTCGGCGTGCTGCACGTCACTGGACTGAGCTTGTAATACACAAAATATTGTGTTATTAGCCAAACCCTGTTCACCCATTCTGATTATCCCGTTCAGGGTTTGAATGCACCAGCAGTTTGCCTCCCCGGCAAGCTAAGACAAATGACCACCTTCGGTTGATTCCATTCCTCTAAATGGGTGCTCGCCGTCAAAGCGCAGCGCGCCCGACCAGGTCTGTTACAACGCCTCAGGCAGGGTACACCCAGTCTGTGACGGGCTTATAGGGGATAATTACAGGGATGCTTCCTTTTTGTTGGCCACAGATGGCAGAGATGACAGGATTTCTCCTAGTTTGGAGAGCGAGTGGGGAAACAGTCATTTTTGGTCATTTCCACCCAACGCCATGGAGCCAATGTTGAATTTTTAGAGACTCGGTGTCTTAGCCTCTTCTGGCTCCTCAAGTTACCGCGGATCACATCAGGCCAAAAATGAACAAGCTAGCTTGTCGCTCTATCTCTGGCAGGCTTCTAGGGAAAGCCTAATGGTTGGAAAGGTCTAGGAACGGTTCGACTTCTGCTATTGTTCGATAAAGGCAGTTTACCGAAATATCAATCCATCTAAAGCACCATTCTGTTGCCGAGTAATAAGGCTATTACTTTTGTCTTGTCTAGGTTCAATTTGCGATATTTTTCAGGCCGATATTTGGTGCGCAAGTGCTGGTTTTGGTGTTGCAACACATTTACCTTAAGTGCCGATTATGACAAAACATACGCAGCTATTACGAATCTTGGCAGGAGGCTGAAGCTTTGCAGTGTCAAGTTATCACGATGTGTTGGTAGTGTGGTCAGCCTAGCCTGAAGTATGTCGGAGTATTCCAAGGTGAAAGTGGGAAAGCTGAAACTGAAAGGAGAAAAAGAGAAGTAAGATTTGGATTATTTTTTGTGCGCGTACTGGATGGAAAGTGTGGTTGACAAGTTTTGTTTTTTTACTGAGTGTTGTTAAGCTTGGATTGTGCTTTGCGTATTTCCCAAGCATCAATATTTATGAAATAGAATGCCTTCATGGGATTTTCAACTCACCGTCCTTTATGGTTCGGTGCTTTCAGTCAGATCATGTTATGCGGTGGAATCGTATGATTGTAAACTGGTATTTTATCTTCAGGAAACACAAGAAGAAGTCCAGCAAAAGGAAGCATGAAGATCATGAATTGGATGCTGCTGTTGCTAAGACTGATTCAGCCATGCATGGTATATTGATAAGAAGATATACATTTTATTGGGAGTGACATTTGAAGCACCGTTTATACAACTGCTAATTGTTTTGTAAGCTTCATATTTGAAGTACATATTTCTGTGAAGTGTGTATTACTGTTTGCCAACATGCCAGCATTCATGTCATTCCTGAGCATTATCATTCTAAGATTACATAAAGAGGTGTATAGACACTCCTTAAGTGATATAGATTGGGCCACTTTAGTATAGGCATGGTACTGTGTCTCATGTTTTTTATGCACCTCAGGTGACTGGTGGACCACGAGTAAAGTTTCGGAGATCCGTGGCAGCATTGCTATAGAGCTTGGAGACAGGACATATATCAAGGCTCTAGACAATGGTCTCTTCACAGTGGGAGCACCACATGCAGAAGGTTTGCATTGGTGTTTTTTTTCCACTGAATGTTGTTTGCTTAGGGTGGGTTTTGATGTACCATGAGTTTTCCCAGACTTAGTCAAACTGAACAGTAAAGCATGTGAAAAACATGTGTTTAACTTGAGCATAGCTCGTTTTTCAGGGTGGATTAACATTGCACTGTGGGCTGGAAACCCTACTTATCACATGACATTTGTGAAAGAAGGTCACTTCTTTTGTTATCACTCATGCCACCATACATGGTTTTGGTGGTTGCAATTGAGCCCATTTCAAATCTGTTTGCTAGCCATAGATTGCATTCCTCCCACATGTGTTCCTGTATGACCTGTGTGCACCACTTCAGGCGAGGGCCCTGACCCTGAGGAGGTGCTTATGGCTGTGCCGGTGGGCGACACGCGTGTGGCGTTCAAGTCGGGCTACGGCAAGTACGTGGGCGTGGATGCTAAGGACCGGATGGTGGGTCGCGCCGACGCCATCGGCCCCATGGAGCAGTGGGAGCCGGTCTTCCAGGTGAGTGGTCAGGATGTGCTCGCGGAGGTGGTCCGTGAGTGGCGACGGTGCCGCGGTGGGCGACGGTGATTGCCGCGATGATGGCTGGATGGCGTGCTCTAGGTGACCAAACTGGGATTAGTGTTTTTGAAAGTGGGGCCTGGTCCATCTAAAGAATTTTCTGAATAGATGTGTTGCATTTACTGGTGTTGCGCATGTTGCACATTAAAAAGTCTGTGGTCTGAGAGGATTTTAGACGAAAACATGAACATGATTATGCTCGCACCTGTCAAGTCAGACTCGGATTATCAACACTACAGCAGCTTGTGATGCTCACAAAGAACTTAAAATGGTAGTATGTGGAGGCAATGGTTAGGTCGTATTTTTCCTGTATAAAGCTGTGTCATCACTCAAGATTATCACCTGTTACATATTGTTACTTTTGCTTTTGTTAATGGCAATCAGTGCTTGAATTTTTCACTGCACTTGTATCTGCAGTATACTGATGTGTTCATATGATACTGGCAACAGCAGAGCATCAAGTGGTGAACCCTGAAATGATGGGCTGATGTCAGTCATCAGTTATGTCAGCAAACCCATCACCAAATCGTTACTGTTAAGCAGCCACGCTTCTGCTGTGACACCTGTCGCCAAGTGTGGTGTGTGGCTGGTGTGGCGGAGTGGTGACAGGTGTCGCTGGTGATCGAGTGCGCGGGTGGCGCCACCTGTGCACGGCGGTCCGTCGGCCGGCCCGCGCGGGTGACAAGCCTGCCTGCTCAGGGCGCCGAACCCCGTCTGCCGCTGATGTGGCTGGGCCGTCCAGACAGGAGCTCTCAGCCACGCAGGCGTCTCCGAGCGATCGTCGAGCTCGGGCCTGGGGCGGCGTAGCGCTGTGACGTCAGCGTGCCGGACGCCCTGGGGCGGTGTGGCGCTGTGACGTCAGCGTGCCGTCGCCCTGGGGCGGTGTGGCGCTGTGACGTCATCGTGCCGTACGCTCTGTGCGTCTGACGGTATCGCCGTGCGGCCGCCAGGACGGAAAGACCGCGCTGCAGGGCGGCAACAGCCGCTTCGTCTCGGCCGACAACGAGGACTCGGTGCTCGTGCGCGCTAGGACGGCCGGACAGCCGGAAATGGTCAACATCCGGTCACACTCGGAGCGCGCGCAGGCGAGCGGCACCACGGCGCAGGAGGACGAAGGCAATCTCAACAAGGTGGAGATCAACTACGTGTGAGTACCGGCCGCGCCCACCTAATTTGTGGGCTACTGGGTGAATTGAAAGCCGTCTTCGGTCAAACAACTCTGAGAGAGGAGTCCTGTCAGTGATGCTAATTGTCAGATCTTGTAATGAATTCGTCATCGCGTCATTTCCGTACATACTGTTAAGGAATCGAATTTAATCAGCCTTTGACGTGGAATAAAAAAAAATACAAAAATACGCCCACAAATGCCAAGTGTCAAGAATTTGAGTGGTCAGCAGCCGAGCGTTTGAAACGCGACTGACTGCGTCTTGTGACGTCGTGCAAGCTACAGCGCCCAACGTGTAAGGAAGCATTTTGACTTAGCCGCCGTGGTGCGCACGACTCTTTCTTGCGATCGGGTTTAGCGTTCGTTGTTCCTATGTGGATAGCGCACAGCTGATACTGACTGGCGGAGTGGAAATTGCTACTGGCATATTTAGACAAGCCGTATCGCCACTAGCGGATTTGATCCTTCTCCCTACGGCTTTGCAGAGCTTTGTTCAAGTTCACAACGGGATTCCGCTGATCCATTCTTAGTCACAGCGGCACTATCTGAGGATCATAAAGGAGTCCCCGCGCACGCCTTTTGTGCCACCGCTGACGCACGCGTTGCGCTGGGCTGCAGGAAGCAGTTCCAAAAGTTCCAGGACAAGCGGCTGCGGCTACATGAGGGCGGCGCGGAGGAGCTGCGCGTGGCGCGGGACCAGGGCCGCCTACACGAGTCGCTGCTGGACCGGCGCGCCAAGATGAAGGCCGACCGTTACTGCAAGTGATGCCGCCCGCGCCTGCCTCAGCAACTGCCGGCAATAGACCGCGTCTGTGTGAACAGCCTGTCGGCCCCGTGGAACCGTGACCTCCGGCCGGCGGTTTACATCTCCGATGGACTACAGCGTCCTGGACGGCATGGCGTCAGTGTCGGTTGACGTTCGGGACGTGGCGGCCGGCGGTTGTCGGTTGACGTTCGGGACGTGGCGGCCGGGCGGTTGTCGGTTGACGTTCGGGACGTGGCGGCCGGGCGGTTGTCGGTTGCAGTTCGGGACGTGGCGTCCGAATGGTCGTAGGTTGACGTTCGGGACGTGGCGTCCCGAATGGTCGTCGGTTGACGTTCGGGACGTGGCGTCCGAATGGTCGTAGGTTGACGTTCGGGAACGTGGCGTCCGAATGGTCGTCGGTTGACGTTCGGGACGTGGCGTCCGGACGGTCGTCGGTTGACGCTCGGGACGTGGCGTCCCGAAACGGTCGTCGGTTGACGTTTGGGACGTGGCGTCTGGACCGTCGTCGGTTGACCTTCGGGACGTGGCGTCCGGACGGTCGTCGATTGACGTTCGGGACGTGGCGGCCGGGCGGTTGTCGGTTGACGTTGGGGATGTGGCGTCCGAACGGTCGTCGGTTGACGCTCGGGACGCGGTGTCGGCCAGCGGGCGGTCGTCGCTGGTGGACGGACGGCCGCGCCGCCGGCGCTGGGTGTTCTCCTGGCGCCGTCGGGCTGAGACTGATCACTGCCAGACAGTCAGTCAGCCACCGACGACTGTCTGCCGGCACGAACTGGCACGGCCTCAGTGTGGGGCGGAAGTGTAGAGCGGCTGGACCTGTCCAGCTTTTGCCCGCTGGCTGTGTCGGGCAAACCGTCACCAGTGTCGGGCCTGAGGCGTGCGTTGTGGTGGGATGAGCGGCGATGTCGGAATAGCTTTGTCGAACGGCCAGCTGTCAACGCCAGGTCACTTGTCATCGTCATTGTACTGAGTCGTTGGAGCGTCTCATTCGGGAACATTTTTGTAGCTGATCGGAAATGAGCAGCGACCATTGTCTTCGATCGTTGGATTCGTGCGATGCGTTGTTTTAATAATCGTCGACCCGTTGCGCCACGCCCTGATGTAACAAGGTCATTACACGATAAACTGTACGTGAACGAAGTGAAGCCGCTGATGGCCGAGCTATGCTATGCTCCCCAGCACTTGGTGCTTGGACCTAGTCCTAAGTTGGTCGGCTTAAAGCAGTAACCGCTTATCACAGCACAGTGCGACGTCTGTCGCCGTGTGGCTGTTGCGAGCTTTGCCATTTTCCCAGATCTGCGCAGGTTACCCGGAAAGTTCGCCCTCCCGCTTTTGGGAAGTAGGGCGATGATGGCGGCGCCATTTCCGCCGACGCCTTGCAGATGTGGCGGCCCGCTTTTCAACTGGGGAGTGCGCCATGTAAGGCCGCCATTGTGACGTAACTTTACCCTAAAATGGCCGATTGGGGAGCAGCGGTAAGAGGCCTTAACTTCGTTTGTGCCGCAAATAAGCGCCGCCGGGCGATGTGCCACGTGACCTGGAGGCTTGTTCTGCCTCGGGCTTGGCGCAAACTGATGCTGCAAAGTGCTGCTCGCGACGCCGATGTGTGCTGCAGAGGGGTTTTTGATTTTCTGCTGCGTTCGGCCAGGACGGCTCGCAGTCGTGACGTAGGGGGAACGCATGGGCGCCTCGTGTTCTGTGCTGCGGAACTGGCCGCGACTGATAGGACCGTGGCTCTGGCGACCGATGGCTGGTCACCGCTTCCCCTCCCCCCCCCCCCCCTTCTGACTCTGACGTGTCGACGACATTTCGTAAATCGTTGCTGCAGAACACTGAAACACTTCCCATCGGGGGAAGCTCTGGTACGCCGAAGAGCCAGGGCTGTTGAAGCACGTGCAGCTGCGATGCATGATCGTCAAAGAATAGCATACTCTGACATGAGTCTCGTAGCTGGACCATTCACACGGCACTTGATCTATCTCAATATCAATGCAGCCGTGAGACGAACTGATTTGCCGTGTTCTGCCACACGTGTACGTATTACGTTATGTAACACCTAGGAAGAATTCGCCCAATTTCCGAAAGATTTGTGAGGTCTCAATGCTGTGAGATGTGTGTATTGGTTAGTATGAGTGGTTTTATTTGCATGCGTTGAATATCAACTCCGTACATCGATACCTCTAGCCGTCACTGCAATGCATGGGCTAACCATTGCATTGGCCCTCGTGCCTTTACTTCGGTTACATCTGTGGCAACTGAAGGAAATCCAAGAGGGTGTTATTTTCCGCTCCCTTGTGTGTCCTGCTGATCCTGGTCCTATAGAAAATAGCCTAAATGTTAAAACATTGTTACTTTCAGATGTATTATTCAGCATAACGTAATGCGTGACGATACACCAAATAAGATACCACTATTGGAGTAAGGACTTAACTGTGCTTGTAGGTATGTGCAGTTTCGTCCGTTTTGGCTCAAACGTGACCTGACCTGACCTGGCCTGAATGTTCCCTGATTGGGCCGTGTGACATGACAGGTTTTTAAATATTGTCTGAGTCGTGACGCAGAATCGATTGCGTGCATCAAGGCATGACCCGCAACGAGCGCAACTGCGGTAATGTAGCGTTATGGAGGGATGCGCTGCAACATCGGTCCCCAGTTTGCGTGCATGCCCGGAGACGAAACGTCATTGTTCATGCGGCATACAAAGATGAAATCGCATTTTTGGACTGGTCGCGCACGCGCAAATTGAATGCTGAGTACGTACACACTGCACTTCCGTGCATATTTTCACTTTGAAGCTCTGGTGGCTTTCGGAAGTCAAACTTTTATGTCGCCGAGCTAAATTTGGGTATCGAACTCCCCTCAAATTCGACAAAGTTCCGCTGATTTCGTCGAATAGCCAGACGGACTACAGTCACTGTCACTGCAAATGCTGAGGGCGTGATCAGATATTACGTTTACGTTTTAGGTTTGTGGTGCGTAGTACGTTATGTAACGCTTAAAAGTAGTTCGTCCAATATCCGACAGGACTGGTGACTTCGATCGAATGATTGCTTTATCCGTCGGTCCTAATAAAAGCTAATGCTGAACCGCTCAAATGTGCTGTGCTCGGGCCCTCCATTACACCAATGATCCATCTTACAGGCTGGGATCACTTCGTCTAATGGGAGGCCCCGCCTTTGAATCCCGGCTTGTTTTGCTTGGGGAATTGCTAGCTGCTACCGCAAGTCGGGTACGGCAGATGTTTTACAATAGTCATCACAGCCCAGTAAATCGCACAGGCGAAGGCAAACATTCGATTTCTTAGTAGGTACAGCGAGATGCTAAGGTGCCTTTGTATTGGCCGTGTACACACATCTAAATCATTGACAGATAATTGTTATTCTGGGGAGAATACATTTAGTTTTTTTTCGCTTGTTACGAGTGTCAGATAGCAAACTAATCCTTCCTGAACGATGGAAATTAGTCTCCTTCAGTGGCCCGCCAGGCTCGGCCATTCACGCTGTCTTGTAGCCAATAGCTTCGGAGAAATTAACCACAGCTTCATAAAGTTTTCAGCAGCGAAAAGAGCAAGTTTCTTTTTTTTAAAATTGTACAATAGAAAAAACGTTTAGGCGTTGACTGCTGTTCGACGAGGCGTGGTGTTCCGACAGCAAGACAATCGAAACAAAATCTGATTGACCCCGTTTCACGAACATGGGAAGCGTAACGTTTCCCATGTTCCCATGGGAAACGTAACGCAACAAGGAAACGAAACGTAACGCGATATGTCATGTTTCTTTAACGCAACTTGAAATCGTACGTTTTCGAAGTGCGAAAAATCTGAATGCTACGGTTCCAACGAAGGGCTCAGTTCCCGAAGACTCGCAGCGTCTTCGGGATCAGCGATCACGGGATCAGCTGGCGAGCTGGAAAGAGAAAGACACTGGTGTTGGTTACATTAGCGGTCGCTGTACGCGCCGTTGGTCGGCCACTGTGTGTATGTATTGAATAACCGAGGTTGTACGGAAGAACCCGAAAAAGCTCGTGAAATTCGGACCCGTCTCGGTGACCGGGAGTTGGTTCGTAGCAAACAAGATTGTTATTATCTTGTCGAGGAAACGGAAATGTAAACAAATGAAGTAGTTGGCTTTTGAGAGCCCAGGGACATAGCTTTTAGCACTACATAAGACCACCTCTCCCTGGCAGGCTGAGCTGTATCGGTGTTTTAAGAATGCTGGCGTAACTTTGCAAACATTTTGGCCCGAAACTTGGCTTGCCTAGAACGAAGTCGCGACACTGATCAGAGCGTCTTGACTTGGGTGTGTACAGGTCATCACGCGCTTGAGCGCCAGCCATGTCTCCAGTCTCGGGTGTGTTTTGGGACTGGTGCCAGATTTCGACGACCAGTGCGTGAGGACCTGACACCAATTGCACGAAGCAGACGAATGTACCGGTTACACATCACTAAGTGATGTAAGCATTATCCTACGTCGATGATTAAACCGCAGAACGACCAATCGGACCTTTTTCGAAGCCGCTCTTGAATATACCACTGTGGCCTACACTGAAAAGCTTGGGACATGACGTTTGCATAAACAATTAGTCCATTAAGATGTTAGCAGCGTTCACTCAAAATACCATCATTTCTGCAACATTTTGGTTGCAAACCCTCTGGAAAACGCAAATAATTTCATATTCCCTAACCTCACTGGCTATAATTGTCGCGCCCTGTCAGCTCTTAGACCAGCCAATTTTCAAGCCACAGTGCCTGTAAATTTATGCAAACATTCTAAGAACGCCAATACAGCTCAACCTTCCAAGCGCGTTAAGGAGAGGTAACATTATGTGGTGCAAAAACCTTATGCCTGGGCTTCCAAAAACATTAAGAATGTTTCATTCGTTTACAGATCGCTTTCTTCAACATGATAGTAATAATCTTGCTTGTTATGACCTCGCCCGCCCTACGCCTGAAAAGCCGTCTCACTGGGAGAAACCAATGCAAAAATACTGAGAGCGGTGTT